GTGTCTGTAATAACTCAATAAACGGTCCGTGAAAAAAATATTTTTTCCAGCAGGTGTCTTAGTTACAACATGATTGAGCTAACTGGAGTAGTTTCATGTCGTATCCGACAAGGGGAGGCTTTTAACGGATGACATCCTGATGTTAGCTTTGCTGCTAGTGTTAGCTGTCCCATTCTACCTCCCCCGGGAATTCTCAACATTAATCATCACAGCAGTGTACATACCTCCCAGTGCAAATACCAAGGAGGCCCTGTGTGTTCTCTACAATGCCATCAGCAAACTGCAAACCACTCACCCGGAGGGTGTTTTCGTCGTGGCAGGAGACTTTAATCAGGCCAACATGAAGACTGTCCTCCCTAATTTCTACCAGCATGTGGACTTTGCTACCAGGGGGGCCAACACATTGGACTTGGTATACACCAACATAAAGAAGGCTTTCAGAGCAGCCCCCCGCCCCCACCTTGGCTCCTCAGACCACCTCTCTGTTATATTGATACCAGCATACAAGCCCCTGCTCACCAGAGGTAAGCCCAACCTGAAGCAAGTGAAAGTGTGGCCTGAAGGAGCTATGTCGGCGCTGCAGGACTGCTTTGAGAGTACTGACTGGGACATGTTCAAAGAAGCTGCAACTGACAATGATCATATAGACATGAAGGAGTATGCGTCAACTGTGTGTGAGTACATCCTGAAGTGCGCAGAAGATGTCGCTGTCACCAAAACTGTCATAACCAGAGCCAATGACAAACCATGGATGACCAAGGAGGTAAGAGCAGCGCTGAGGGAGCGAGATATCGCCTTTAGATCTGGCGACGCGGGGGCTCTCAGTGAGACAAAAGCCAACCTGAACCGCTCCATCAAAGCGCACCCAAGGCCAGCAGATCCATGTGTTTTTTTCCAGGACTCAGGTAACACCAGACATCTGTGGCAGGGCATCCAGTCCATCACAGGTTACAAGGCCACCCCCTCCCCCTGTCAGGACAACATCAGCTTCCTCAACGAACTGAATCAGTTCTTCGGACGGTTTGAGGAATTAAATACCACCCCAGCAAGGAAAGCTGTCCCTCACCCCGACGAGCAGGCACTCAGACTTGAAACAGTGGATGTGCGGAGGACCCTGAGAAAAATCAACGCACGGAAGGCAGCAGGCCCTGATAATATTCCAGGACGGGTCGTCAGAGAATGTGCCGACCAGCTGGCCTGTGTCCTCACCGACATCTTTAACACCTCGTTGATGCAGGCTGTTGTACTGTCATGTTTCAAGGCTGCCACCATCATTCCAGTGCCTAAGAAATCCAACATCACTAACCTGAACGACCTCCGCCCTGTAGCACTGACCCCCTTCATTATGAAGTGCTTCGAGAAGGTAGTGAAGGATCACATCATCTCCAAACTCCCACCATCACCTGACCCATTCTAGTTTGCGTACCAGCCGAACCGTTCCACGGAGGATGCCATCTCCTTTGCCTTCCATCTGAGCCTGGAACACCTGGAGGATAAAAACACCCATGTGCGGATGCTATTTATGGATTTCAGCTCAGAATTCAATACAATCATCCCTCAGCACCTGGTGTACAAACTGGGTCACTTGGGCCTCGGCACCCCCCTATGCAACTGGCTACTGGACTTCCTCACCAGCAGAACCCAGTCTGTACGTGTGAACAATAACATCTCCAGCGTCATCTCCCTGAACACCGGTTCCCCCCAGGGCTGTGTTCTCAGCCCCCTGCTGTTCACCCTGATGACACATGACTGTCATCCCAGATTCAGTACTAACCACTTCCTGAAGTTTGCAGACGACACAACCATTGTGGGCCTCATCCAGGGTGACAACGAACTGGCCTACAGGGATGAGGTAAAACATCTGGTGAACTGGTGTAAAGTCAACAACCTGATCCTCAGTGTTGACAAGACAAAGGAGATCATTGTTGACTTTAGGAAATCTCGGCCCAGTCATACACCACTCCTCATCAACGACACTGCGGTGGAGGTTGTCAGTAGCACAAAGTTCCTGGGAGTGCAAATCAGCAACAAACTAACCTGGTCCCTCAACACCACCTCCCTGGCGAAAAAGGCACAGCAGCGCTTGCACTTCTGCGCCGGATGAGCAGAGCCTCCCTCCCCCCTCCCATCCTGACTACATTCTATAGAGGCACCATCGAGAGTCTGCTGACCAGTCGCATCTCTGTCTGGTCTGGGGCTTGTAAGGCCTCTGACTGGAAGTCTCTGCAGAGAGTGGTGAGGACAGCGGAGAAAATCATCGGGTCCCCGCTCCCCTCTATCCGGGACATTGGGCATAAGCGCTGCCTGACCAGAGCCCAACGCATCTCCTCTGACCCCACCCACCCCCACCATGGACTGTTCTCCATGCTGACCTCTGGCAGGAGGATCGGCAGCATCCGTAGCAGGACGTCCAAATTCAGAGACAGTTTCTTTCCCCTGGCTGTAAGACTATTGAACACTCACATACAATAATAAACACGCATCTATGGACTGAAACAGACCCCCCCTCCCCCCAACTGCCCACCCTCCATGGGATCCTCACTGGACTATAACATGCTGCTACTTCTGATAGTGCAATATCATATCACTAGGTCACTTTATTCTCACATTGTACTGTGATGCACTGTAATTTTAACTACTTGAAATTTTAACTTTTTTTTAAGTCATACTAGTGTTTTATATTTTATTTTATTGTATGTTATATAATTTATGCGTCTACTCAGGAGCCAAAGTAACAAAATCTCGTTTAATATGTGCACCGATGGTGTAACTGTTAAATGACAATAAAGCAGTCTGTCAGCTGCAGCCACTGATGCTTTCTAGACATTGTGATTTCCCAAAACTGAATAAATACCACACATAGCAACACAAAACTGCTTTGCTAGCTCAATCATGTTGTAACGGCTGGATGGTTGATGCGTACATGCTGATTCGGGTGCTATCAGAGCCGATTCACGCATCACTATGGCTTAATGATCAACTCAGTCAATAAAAACAAGCCGTCCTGTGTTCGGAGTGTATGTCGCTGACAGAAAGAAAGAAAAGGGAAAAAAAGATAGAAAAGCAGCGTACACCTCACATTTATTTCTCACTGTTGCGCACACGTTTGGCTGGCATGTAGAGGCACCGTCTGTGTGTCGAGGGTGCGAGCCGCAGCTTCAGCTGCTCAGGTAGAGAGGCTGTGTAGCCCGGTGTGTGTTTTCGCTGATTCGGTTCTGCAGGTTCTCTGCTGGTACACTGGAGACGGGGATCAAGCAGTTTGTCTCACTCAGGATAGATTGTGCTTTTTTGGTTCATAGTTTTTGATTGATGTGCGATTTATTCACGTTTAAAGGGAATTATTTTTACCGGCAATTACCGAATAAAGGAAACGTGGGCAGAGTTATCTATAAAAAATACACAGACAAACTAACTAACTGATTGACTAACATAAACAACTGAAAATTGAAAAAAATTAGCTTGCACCGTTAGCTCCAGTAAGGGAAAGCATGAGGGAAAGCAGCTGACCGGAAGTCACACACAAAAACACGGAAGTTGATCACTATTTACTTTCGTGTTTGAAAATAAGGTGGATAGGCTCTCACCAGAGGTCATAGTTAATCAAGCAGCAAATCAGGCTGATTTCAGACCTGATTACCCCTCCTAATAATCTTCAGCAAAGCCTCCCTTATTGATGATTATAAAACTCATCTAGCAGGATCTTCCTGAGATGTGAGCTATGTTCAGAGTGTTTTCTTTTTACATCCCACAATCTCCTCAAGAGTCCATCCTGACTACACCAACGTCACCTCTCTCAGTGACAGCTTAAAGGCTCCGAACTGTAGTTGGGAACACACTGGCTTATTAACATTTAATTGGTAACTAGCTTCTAGCAGTCCAGTCCGCTCTGCTGAGGGAAGGATGGCGATGCGTTCGGGTGCCGTTCACCAACAATGGCTTTATTGCAGTCTTCACCGCAAAGCAATAAACATGGCCTTTTCATGAGGTTAAACAGCAGCCCTGAGCCTATCTAGAGAGGCAATTCTGCTGACTATAATCACTCTTTGCCATCTGCCGTCTTCATGACACCCCGAGAGAGCTGCTTCTCTCCCCACGCTACGAAGTACACATTACACACACTCACAGGTTACTCACTAGGGGGTAAGGAAAAAGAGTGAGCCCGTAACAACGATTTCAAATATTAAACATGTTCAGCATTTACGACCCGATACCCTGTAATGAAGGGGGAACCTCAAAGCGGATCATAGTCGGTACCACAGGTCTCAGGAGACATGTTTATCTGCAGCCAAATTCAGTTTGGAGCCTACATGGCATGCTCCTACAAAACTCGCCCATCAGTACAGGACAAACCCACCAGAATGACAGTTATTTTAAACCAACACAACGTTTTGGTAAATAAATGAGAAATGTAGCAATAATCCACTTTATACAACATATTTAACTTCTAATATGATGTAAGCTTTACTTTAATCCAAACTTTAACCAGCTCTCTCTTAACCTAACACTTCATAGCTAGCTAAATGTTAACGTGGCATTTTCTAAAGGGCCTCTGCTTCCAGTGTTGGGCAATAGTGTCACTACAAATGGATGTTACTGACTTAACTACATTTCTCAGTAGCATGGTGGCAACGTCACTACTTTGTGAGTCAAATAGCTTTTCAGTAGCAAAGTTAATTAATTGACATTGATATATTTTTGAATTCTGTTTTTGAATTACTGACAGAGCCAGATATCCTACTGAAAGAGAAATGCATCAAGCAGGAAGAGGAGAGAGAAAGAAGAGAGCAATTGGTTGATTGATGATTTCATTTTATTGGAGGACAATGTCACCAATACTTAAATAAAAATAGAGTTTTAATGTAAGTCTGTTGATTTATAATCAGTACAGCCTCTGGTCAAATTGTTAATTTTTAACAAGGGGGATGCAATGTAGCTTTGATTTTTTTGCGTGCACGCATCATCAAATATGACAGCACAGATGTGCAAAATTAATCAAGATAAAGAAAAATATCATGACCTATACCTGCTGCCTTTAAAAAACACAAATAATGCAGTAGTATTGCTATTGCAGTACAGACAAAAACATTTTAGAGCATAAATAAGAGTAGTTCTGAAATAGCTGTGAAAATTAATCTTAGAGTCACTCTTATCCTATAGACATTTCCATTTGCTTGGTTTCTCCCTGTCCCTTATCTATCTATTGCTATAATATAGATAATAAATGTGCAAAGCAAAATTTAGAAATAGAATTAGGAATAGTAGTGGTGACATAGCTGTGGAAATTGATCACTTTTGTGCTCTAGATATTTTCTCTCAGCCAGTTATAATCTCTCCTGTGAAGACCCTGCATGATCATCCTTGCTAGCCTCTGGTCCACTGTCTCGTCCCTGACCCTGCTCTTTCTATTGTGGCAATAAAGATTAAAAACATATGTGCAAAGCAATAGTGAGCACAAGTTCTTATTAAGGAGGAGTGGGTTTATTCCTAGCATGAAACTAGTTAGCAAGTGATTTAACATAGGTAACAATAACATTAGTGTTCTTGTTAACTAGCTTAACTTGATATATTGGCATCTATTAATTAGTCATCATTTAGCTAACATTATCTACATGCAACAGCATTACTCAACTTACACGGTTTGTTTGGAAGAAACTGTGCAAGGTTTTTTGCTTCTTGCTGGCTGGTTTGCTGCACATAGTTAACACAGAGGCACTGTCCAGCAGCACATGTCTGTGTGATTGATTCAGATCACAACATGAAAGCCTGTGTCTGCGGCCTGGCGCTGCCTACACATGGTGCGTTTAACGACAGCTCGGAAAAACACGTTACCACATGTTAAAAAGGAATTGAACAGTGGTAACATCTGTAAAAAGTGCGGGGGACGGAGGGCACAGATACAGGAAGTGCGGGGGACATGTCCCCTGTGTCCCCCCCCTCAAATTACGTCCGTGCCTGCACACGCAGATTCTAGATTAACGAGGGGGATGCTTTTTGGTCAATTTTCTAACAAAGGGGATGGCATCCCCCCTCAATTCGACCACTGAGTACAACTGAACATTTTTTGACTGCCTATTTGTTTGGCTGATAGTTTTTCTTATCACTGAGATAATGCTGATTTGACAAAATAAAAAAAGTAGTAAAAGTAGCCTCTCTGGGGATAGCTTCAATGTAGTGAAGCTTTATTTTGGTATAGAGTAACTGGTAGCTCAGCTCACACTTCCAAGTAGCTCGCCCAACACTGTCTGCTTCTGGACCAGGGGTCAAAGGGAGCTGCTCATGGACTGACATATATGTAGGTATGGTGGGTGAGTTGTGTAGTTGGTTGGCGAGTCACGTAGCTGCTCCAGCTGGAGCTATACCTACATGGATCTCAGAGGGTTTTAATGCAATATCATATGGGATTCAACTCAGAATTTTATTGCTACTCACCAGCTGGTGCTGTAAGATGTACAGTCCATGTTCAGGCCGTCTCCATGACTTCATCCTTCATCTCTTTATGAATTTTGTAAAAAATAGTGCATCGACCACCATGTTTGTTTACTCTAAAGTCATGTTTGATCGCAGAAGATTTGAAGGATCTATAGTTACATTTGCAGCAGCAGAACAATACCAAGAGCAGGGGCCAATGAAAACATCCATGAAATGAAGGAGTCACATGGCAGAAATCATTAAATACATGCAAAAAAAGGCTACAAACATATTGATGTGCAAGCGAGTATACGCCTACATGTCCCAGTGCTACATACACATTGGTGTTTAAAAATCAATTTTGTATGCAATGGTTTTAAAATTTCATTTTACAAATTCCCCAGTGTGTCAGAAGAGGTTTAAAGTCCATCCATCATGCAGTTTCTGAGTGTCGTTATCTTTGCAGTGGCTGCCTGCTTGCTGTTCTGTCGGGTCTGCTGTACGGGACATCATTTGCACCCGTCTTCTACATAAAGAGCCATTCATCATGCCTTGACAGCATGTTCCATGGAGCCAGTGTCTATGGTATGCCTTCACTTTTACCATTAAGCTACAATTGATATATCTTGTAGAAGAAGGAAAAGTCAGGTTTAATATCAGGTTATCTCTAAAGTCGGTGTCAGTGGAGCAGCTCAAGGATTAATAAAATTCTTTCCTTTGTATCACTTCAGCTCTTCAACTTTGATATTGGTAACAATATTAGAGCAAAGAAATGCAATTGATTATAGCAAATTTAACAAATGATTCTTGTAACTTCTTCACAGACCTCGACTATGTTCACGCACAGTGCTCTGGTATCTTTGTTGCAAGCACAGTGTACTTTGCCATCTACTGCGCTGCCATGAACAACAGGCCCAGAATCTACTCCAGAGTCATCCTGCCAGGTAACACACACTTATCCTTGAAGTCATTCATTTAAAGTTAAACTGCTTTACACTGAGATATCACTGTAGAAGCTACTTGCAGCTACTAAGATGTTTAACCCTGACCTGGTTGACACACTTGCTTCTGTTGATGCCACAGCTTCTCTTGGTTGTGTTGTGCTCAGATAATGAGCTGCAGGCTCCAGCTGCAGAACAATCATTGTATTTATTCATACCAGTATGCACAAGGTTGAATAAGTGTAGATTTCTTCATTTTTCATTTAAAACCGAACACACAGCTTTCAGCATGTTGAACACTGTTCTGTGCCACAGCATTCAGAAACCATTGCCCTTCCTGGGTCAAACACCTGACGGCAACATTGTCCTTCAAATCTTTGTTCACTAAACTCAAGTACTAACATAGCGCTACCCAGTATACACACATGGAAAATACAATTAATGTCTGGTAAGTGAAATGACACATTTGGCTCTTACAACCACTTTTCTAGGTGCACCAGCGCAGTCTACTGCATTCAGTACTGATGACGCCGTCAGTTACGTGTTTATTCAACTCTATTTTTTGGGCCATTTCACCCTAAAGGCCCCTACATAGTCAGTCATAATAGTGGTTTTCAACCTAAGCAGTCGGGATCCCTGAAGAATCCCCTAAATCAGTCTGATAGGTCAAGATCACTGAAAAAATATTCCTCTAACCTGTCCTGAAAGCCTTATTTTTCTTATGACAAGTGAAACTAGAATGAGTGCCCCATAGTTGTATATCTCCACCACCCATTTGACTTTGCATGTTTTGTCTATACTCATACACCCATCAGCCAAAACATTAAAATCACTGGTGGGTGAAGTGAATAACATTGATCATCTTGTTACAGTGTAATATTCTGCTGGGAAACCTTGGATCCTATGCATTCATGTGGATGCTACTTGAAGTGCTCCACCCACCTGAGTACCGTTGCAGACAAAGTAAACCCCCTTATGGCAACAGCACTGGTCGATGGCAGTGGCCCCCCAGCACAACAATGCACCAAGCCACACCACAAAAACTGCTCAGGAATGACTTCAGGAATGGGACAAAGAGCTCAAGGCATTAACTTGGCCTTCAAATACTCCAGATCCCAATCTGATCGAACATCTGAGGAATGTGCCTTTACCCCAGAGGTACCCCCGATCCATGGTAGGTCCTCCTTGGACCGGACTTGGCTCTGACCTGTCAAGGCATGGACACAGGACCTCTGTAGGGCGTCCTTTGGTGCCTGGCATCAGGGCGTTACATTAGATCTCTTGAGTCCTGTGGGTTGTGAGGTGGGGTAACAGTACACCTTACAAATGTTTGATCAGATCAGGATCCAAGGAATTTGGAGGCCAGGTCGATGCCTTGAGCTCTTTGTCTCATTCCTTGGACCATTCCTGAGCTGTTTTTGTGGTGTGGCATGGCATATTGTCGTGTTGGGGGCACCATTGTGGATGGAGCGTGTCAGGTGGCATCCACATGAATGTCAGAGCCCAAGGTTTCCCAATAGAACATTGCATTGTAACAAGATGATCAATATTGTTCACTGCACCTGTCAGTGGTTTTAATGATTTGGCTGATCAGTGTATGTAGCCATGACGGATGACAACACTTCAAATTTGGATGTTGCTGCCAGGAAGTGATAAATTCTAAAACCTGGATGCTTCACACACACCTTGAACCCGGCAGCACAGAATATGTATACAGTGAGCACAGTTCCAAGATTAGTGTCACCAATTCAGTATCTGACCTGATGTCTCCCCTTCTGGGTTATGTTTTTAAACTCAAGAATGAATTCTTGAGTTAGGCCCAAAACATGTTTTGTGAGGTCGTTGAGTACAAGTGGACGTTTGTGCCAAATTTGAAGAAACTCCCTCAAGGCATTCATGAGAATGAGACAAACATGAGGTCACAGTGACGATGTTTTGAGTCCAGGTTATCCTTATAATATATAATATAATATGATATAATAAAATATATAGAATACTGTAATTGCAAAGTGTTTATTTTATTTTATTAACAATACAATCAACATATGCACATTCTCACACAGCTGCTGTACCTTGTGATTAGGGATTGCAGGCCATAAGCCACAAAGGTTTGGAGGTTTGGACCCCATAACACAGGGGTGCTGTTGATACAGGTTAATGCAAGTCAGCTTCATTTATTCATACAGCCCATTATCACAAATTTGTCTCAAGGGGCTTTAAACACGTCCTCATAAACCATGAGCTGCTGCCACAAAACTGGCACCTGGCCTTTCACACACAGACTCTAAAGCCCACGAGTCCTGGCTACGGTGTGGCACCATTTTCCACCAGCTAATTTATTTTTCCGAGCCACTAAACTGTCCCGGACCAGGGGCCACCAGAATGTCTATTAATAGCTTCAGCTTGACTCCAACCAGGACAGGAAAAAGAGAATGACATGCAGCAGCTTCCTTTGCCAAGCTGCATGTGCAAACACATCCACTCAGGGGATGGTTGGATGTGTTGATTCAGGGAAATGTACTGGGGGCAAACACATCACTTCAGCCCAAAAGCTGCCACGCAGTGTGGGCTTTGAGTTCAGATCCATCCTTTGGTTTACAGCTTGTTGTGGGACCTTAATTTCATAGCATGACGGGAAGCTTGATCACCCTGTCCACACATTTCCTCACTAAAATCTTCAATTTGTCATCCAGTTACCAACTCCTGCAGCTGTTTAATGTGTACATGTAAACTTTTAAATGCCTTTAGTTTTCTTAAATATATGTAACTTTACTGTTATGCCCAGTCTAGGGGTGTCTAAGAAACAAATGACCATAAGCTTACCTCCCTAACTGAATAAACAGGAGAAAAGGTGTGAGGAACAAACTGGCAGTCCACCCCTACTATTCAACAGTCTTTAACACAATAATGATCCACTACAATAACACAACAATGTGTGGCCTGTTGGGAGAGGAGGAAGGTGAGGAATGCCTGCTAGCTCGCCAGAAACCGCCATCTTGGCCCTTTAAAAGCCAAACGCCCTCGGCTGCAGCCAATCAGGAACCAGGACCTAACCCATCCGGCAATCACCGCCGGGCTGTGGCACACACCTATTTACATACACAAAACAGAACACACAGAGAGAACACATGCAGGAAAAACACAACTTACATAAATTACGACAACAGTCGTAACACTACTGTAAACCTTTTATCTGCTGTGTATTTGAGACACTCTCTTGTCTCCTTTTGCTCATCAGGCCTTTTTTCTGGAATGATGTGGGCACTGGGCACATACAGCTGGTTCCTGGCCAATAACTACCTGAGTGCAGTCATCACCTTTCCCATTGTCACCGCAGTAAGTACAGCTGAGTGGCCCGGGGAATGGAAATACTATCCACTTGCCATCATTTGGACTAAGCAGTGTTTAACCACTGACAGAGAAAATTGCGATTTTTGTTCAGTAGATGTACAAACACTTATTTTAAAGCCTTTTTGAGATTTCAATTATGTTTAATGTCAGCTGACATGTCAGCATTCCTGTATACTCTGATGAAGTTCATGAGGGAAACTCAGATGTCCAGCTACAAACCTAAGCATGACAGGAAAACCTATGGAGTGTACATAGTTTTTTGTTTTAAATCCCAGAAGAGAGTGACTGCTCAGTGAATGCCACGGCAATCTGCACACTATGTTCTGACATTTTGGTTGCCTAATTGTCGTAGCAAAAATGTCAAAAGGACAAAAAGAAGCAGTATTAGTATTCATTCTCTGGGGATTGCAGAAGTCGAGCCATAGTTTTCAATACAAGTTTCATGGAGAAAGGTGTTGGTCAAGGGGAAAATTTGACTCCAGTGAAAAGTGGCAGGGGTCATCAATAGTTTTTCTCTGAGATCAATTTAAGTCAGTTCAGCAAGACTGAGATTTGGATAAATGAACCTGCTGTTCTTGGGCCTCGATGCGTCAAAACCAGCACCATCCTGCATCTCATGATGTTTTTTTTTTTATGTTTTGAAATACCCTGTCAACAGAAAACTTGTAGTTTACTTCAGTCAAGTACTGCTAGTCATTAAGTGTAATGACTAATAGGTCCATGTTAGAGCTTTAGATGTGTGTATTGCTCTTGTGAGGGATTAGAATAACAAGCCAAATACAGTCCCATGTTAACACCAGCCCAATTAAATTTATTGGACAAGCTGAAGGAAAAAGATTGATCCATAATGCTTGTTAGTCGATATCTGACAGTGTGTTAATTATCAGTAAATGCACTTTGGCATGTATGTGTATATGCAGCATAACTGAAATAAACTCACATTCACACAGTGTTTCATTTTTGGCTCATGGAGCCTGTGCTTACTGCAAATGTAAGAAATAAAAATGTGATTTTTAAAAATGTTTGGTTTCTTCTATGTAGGGATACGGTCTGGTTGCAGGGCTGTGGGGATCCTTGGTGTTCAAAGAGATCAAGGTAAGGATAACAACACTGTGATCAATAATCTACACTGTCTACTCTTTTGGTTGTAAATTAGCTCTAATACATGCCGGACTCACTTAGTAAGTGTACAGCCACACAGTTAACTAAAGAGAACATGACCTCGTCCTCAGTAACCTCAGTAAATGTTTCCTGGTGAAAATGCTGTCCAGCTAAATCTGAAATGGAGATGCTTGATGATGAAACATATGGTGGCCAACTCGGGCAAATGTGGTACAATGGCCTAAAACTTTTCAATGAAGAGAAATGTGGTGCAGCTTCAAAAACGATGACTATTCTAAATCACATGGAAATCCAAAACAAATGGAAACCAACCCGGTCTCATTCTGAAGTTGTTGAATACCAACAAAAAAAGCCATCCTTTCACTTCAGCATGATATACAGCCAGGTGTCGTCAGTGTGTAACGACGCCCGACAGCATCAGGAAGGAACACAGCCAGACAACAACATAAGATAAGGAAGCGAGGAGTCCGAGAAGGGCGGGTCAAACAGTCACCAATTGCTTCCTGTTTCAATCTAAAGCCAAACCCTGTTATTTTTTTCTAAACATAACCACATGCTTTTGTTGTTGAAGGGAAAAAAAAGTCAATTCGCATTGTTGCACCAAAGTAGTACATTTATTTTGAAAGAGACTGTATGCAAACTATACATTTCCTGACAAAACAAAAGTGTAATTTGAAAAGACACAGTGCATGTAACAGGCAGAATTGACTCAGTGTCCTAGAACATCAAAAACAGACGCACCCAGGCTACTTCGCTCGTCATATGTTGACGTGGAAAGTCCACAACCAGGCGGCGATATGTGATGAATGAGTGAGAATGTGTTGTGGAAATGTGCTGCAAATGAAAAATTGGGCTGCAGAAAGCCAAAACAATTATATAAACAACAAACATGCTGCAAATACAGAAATAAAGCAATGTCAAAAAAACCACAATCCCCAGCAACAAAAGCAACAGAACAACACTACACATTCAGTCAATACAACAGAAGTTCTCCAGGCCTCTCAGGGGAGCGCTAAGTGGAACAGCTTGATTTTTCGACCAGACAAGAGTGTGTTGTTTTTTTGAAATGGAAAGAAACGAAGAGTCAAGAAGACATGAAAAGGTACGTATTATTTCTTATATTTGGCTTTGACGTTTACAGTCTTATTAAAAGGATTTACGTAGCTAGTGTTAGCATGATGCTACTTAGCACTGCCCTGCAGGCCTGTAGAACTTCTGTCGTGTTAACTGCATGTGCAACGTTTCTCTGTTGCATATCTTTAGGGGTTTGACTGTTTCAGACTGTATCCGCAGCATCTGCTGTTATGTTCTGCATTTTTTAATTTACAGCATGTTTCCGTGTTGTTTTGCATTTTTGTATGGCACTGTGTCTGAAGCTACAGCACATTCGTCCAAATGGAAAGGTTTTGGCATTGCAGCACGTTTGCCCTTGTCGGCTGCCTTGAATTCTTTATTCAGGATCCCGATTAGTCATAACCGCAGTAACGACCTCTCTTCCTGGGGTCCACGAAAAATGCAGAAGCAAGACAAGTTATTAAATTATGACATCGTAGACAATTTACAACATAGACAAATTTAAATAAAACCCAAACAAAAGACAGCAGTAGTTATCTCACATTTACTGTTATCTCATCAGTAGATCATAAAAGCAAACCAGTAGAGCCGATAACTAGGCTCATGAATTCAATTTCCACTTAAAAAAAGAAAACAGTAGAAACCAAACATTTTGAGTCTAGCTGACGTTAAACACCTGTTTCTCCCTCAGGGGGTGGGCAACTGCTTAATCTTCTTCTTGGCCTCCTGTGTGGTGGTGACCGGCTCCTTGCTCACCGCCATCTCAAAGCTCTAAACGTGCAGAAGACTGCTGAGTGAAAACATCAAGTGATTATGATTATATACCAGCATTTACCCAGAAAATAACGTCCGTGGTTTTATGAAACTCTTTGAACCCCCATTAAAATAAACCACAATGCATGATGGTTGAGCTGAATGTAAAGCTTTCTTTGTTGGATTTGGAAAGTATTATTTTGAACCAGCAGGGTTGTTCTCTGAGCTAACATTTGGTGGCAGTGTCCTACAGGAATGACCCTCGTGCTTTCTGGTTGGTTCAAAGAGGGAATTTGCTGTTGAAGTATGTGTTTGTTGTTTAAAATGTGTTTCTGTCAAATAAGTGTTGTCACCTTTTGTGTTTTGTTCAGTTGCTACTCACAAAATGCCCACACAACGTTCACACATCGCTCACAAGCTAATGGTTGTTTTAAAGAGATTGTAAGATAAAGCACATTTCTATTTATTACTGACATGGTGATGATTTTTTTTGTTCTTTTTTGGACAGCATGACAATATGAGTCACTTTACACATCCTGCTATTAAACATGTATAATGTACTGACTCATGACCTCGTGCTCCTTGAAACATTATATGTTGACTTGCTTCATATAGAAATCTGGCATAGCTCACAGCTCAGCTTTGATTGATTTGGATGCTGTTCATGGGAGAACTGATGAAAGCACCGAGCTGACAGAAGCATCCTCCCTGAAGAAATGTGGGGTTAATTAAATCAAGAAGCAGGCAGAGAGGGGTGTGTTACTGAGGTTATATGAGACACAAGTGGGACTAGGTGTAGAAAAAAACTGACATGATGCTCTCATGATGTTCAGTTAGCATTGCAAACCTGCGTTTTGGACTCAGTCTTGAGGAACGCAGATCTGAATTATTAAAAGGAAGCACTGCTTATGTCGCCTATAACCCAGGTTTATTTTAAATTTATTACATCCATCAATCCATCCGTTGATTTTCAACGGCTTATCTGGGTCTGGGTCACGGGAGCAGCAGGCTAAGTGAAGCACTCCTCATCAACGCTTTCCAGCTCCTCCTGGGCTATCCCAAGGCATTCCCATGCAAGACGAAATACATAATCCCTCCAGGAGGCACCCAGGAGGCATCCTGATCAGATGCCCAAATCACCTCAACTGACCCCTTTCGACACGAAGGAGCAGCGGGGAGCTCCCTACGGATGGCTGAGCTCCATACCCTATCTCTGAGGTTGAGCCCTGCCACCCTCCAGGGAAACTCATTTTGGCCGCTTGTATTCAGCTGCTTTGCCTTCTGGCTCAGCTACCTCTTCACCAGGACAGTCCAACTCAGCACTCACATCACTGCAGACCAATCGTCAAATGTCATGCTCCAGCCTACCCTCGCTTGTGAATAATTTACTACAGTTGAGGCCATACAAAGGTCAGATTTATGTCATTGAAAAGCCACTCAGAATTTGAATATTTCAGACTTTAATGTGTAAGTCTCAGAGAAGACAGCAATACAAAGCAATGCACTCAGCTTAAATAAATATTGTTTGTTCTGGATAGTGTCCAATGGCTGAAACCAGTGAAGAATTAAAGGAGTACTTATACCATTTTTTGCCATGTTTGTATCATAACAATGTGTATAGTATTTGTAAATGAACTGTGGTGAACTTCCCTCCATCCTATCAGCGCCCACATCTCCCTGCTCATCTCCAAGCTCAAATTGATGGATGACATGCTTCTCAAAATCCGGTCAAATTGTAATACTAGGCAATGCTTATCAAATATAAACCAAGATTCTGTTACCGTGTTGACTATTTCTCATCTAAAATATCTTCAGAAACGTATTTAGTGCCCTGTTTGGCTGTAATATGAGAGTTTGTGAACAGGAAGTGGCCGCCATACTGTGTCCTGTCTTGTAATAAGTGGAGGTTATTATGTCAAACGGGAGGTGCATTATGTCACCTACCAGTGGGAGCGTTTGATGTGGTGCTGTGCATTCTGGTAGTTGTAGGTTTTCTACCTCTTGAACAAAAACAAACGTCACAGTCATTTTCCTCTGCTTTCTCTGGTCATGTAGCACCAATTACAAAAGTATTTGCATCTTTATCCTGCATTGTTTTATGAAAAAACAATCTTTCCAGCAGTGAAATACTACTTTAGGATGACGAGAGTTTTCTGTGTAATAATAGCTTTTATTTATATAGCGCCTTTCAAGAGACCCAAGGATGCTTAACAAACAAAACAAGACAGAGCAAGATAAACAGACTAGCTGCCAAAGGCCTGTGTGAATCAGTGTCTCTTCAGCGCAGACTTGAAAGTGTCCAGAGATGGAACATGGCAAATCTCCATAGGGAGACAGTTCCAGAGGGTGGGGGCTGCCACACTGAAGGCTCTATCCCCGAAGGAGGTCCGCCTATTGGTGCGGGGGATGGAGAGGAGGCCTGAGTCAGAGGGTATGCTGGTGGAGAAGGTCCGATAGGTACAGTGGAGCGAGGTTGTGGAGCCATTTGTAGGCAAGCAGGAGTTTGTAGGTTATGCGGAACTTAACCGGAAGCCAGTGCAGGTGAATGAGGTTAAATGAATGAGGTGAAGACCTTTTATGCCAAAAGTGTCATGGATGAAGTAGATTTACCTGTTTGATTTCAGTTCCCAGTGCTGACATAATTATCATCACACCAAATCTCAACATATGTCACCAAATCAAACCATAGGTGCAATAAAATGTGGAAAAAAATGCCTGAATTGTGCACAGAGATTGATTTGTGGTAACCTTTGTCATAGATATTGGTCATTCTTTCAAATAAAAGGTCAAACTGTCAATCGTTTTAAATTCCAGGATGCCTTATTTCTTTCAGCAATCTGGTGGGTTAGCTCTGCTACACTGGTTTATACTATGGATAACCCACAGTTAGATCTCAATTTTGGGATGACAATAGAAGGTTCCAGTAATGTACCCTTACTGTTACGCAAAAACATAATATAAATGGGTTTTATAACTGGAAATGAAAGTCTAACAACTGGAACTACTCTGCACATTGCCTTCAGAATCCCCCAGCATGTCTGAGGAAGCGCCGTCTTTAAAGACTATTTTTTGGCATTTATGCTTCAGCAGACAGGTCACAGTGAGGAGAGACAGACACAATAAAATGTGAGCTGACACAGGTTAACTGGATAAGACAGGTTTTCATGGACGTGGGTGACATTTGACTGAACGTTTCATCTAAGTTTTATGCTTTTGTTCGTCTCTTTCCTTATTTTTTAATGTCATAAAGTTCACAGCTGTTCATTTGCTGCTCTGGGGAGCAGATGAAATTGCTGGTGTAAATGGGCCCAAAGAGAGCAGGTTGACTCCTGATGCCTAAAATGGATGAAAGAATAAAAACCAAGGCTCTATTTTTTTTTGTCTGTTTTTAGTTGTACATGTGTTGTGTGTCATTTTTTACAAACGTGCATGAAGTTTAGCATGATGAATTATTCAGTGGAATAGTTACTGAGCATTTCCTGGCAGCAGGCAGAGCTGTAAAACATCAGATCACATGAAAAAAAATCTGTTTACCATTTCTGAAGCATTACTGTGTGGCACTGATTTAAATCATTCATGTTTATTAGATGTTAGCTGGAGCTGATGCTTGTTGTCACATAGCAACATATGTTTAACTTGGCAGACAGCTGTGTTCTAAACACGGCTAAGCTAATCAGATGCTAACTAAATACACAGTTAAGTTGCCAGATGAAAATGTTGGCATTGGTACATTTATTTGTTTAGTCCCAAATAAACGCCCAGTCCCTTTTACAAACCTGGTGTAGCTACACATTTTGACAAATAAAGGCCTGTCTCAATTAGACACCTGGTCTGGTTGCCAAGCAGTTCATTTTATAGAAGTTCTTTGGATGTCTAAAACAGGTTGATGGCTACCCACGTGAGCCAATGTTAGTTAGCTGCTTAGATCGCACATAAAAATATAACTGTGGAAACTTTTGTCAATATGGAGATGCTACACATCATCAGGTCACATAGATTCTCCACAATTTAATTGTTCAGTTCATTTTACTGAAACCATAAGCACCAGAGACGACCGTAGTTCATTCAGATTTACCAGCATGCCAAAAAAACAAGTGGTGACTCTCTTCCTCTGAAGTTGTCATAAAGTCAGTATGTGTCCATTCCTCAGTTAAGGCAATTAATAAGTTATTCATATTCCATTAGTATGTAAGCATCCACCAATCAAAAGAATCAAAAGGGTTTTCCATGAAAATGAATCCAACTTGTGAATGTTGTAATAAGATGAAGGGATGATGTGTTGGTGTGCCAGGTGCTGAATCCTCTCTGATGCCCTGTCTGTTGGAGCTAGATCAAATGAATGAGGCGTCATTGATATTTTATTCTAAGCATTATTTTTATACAAGTATTATTCATACTGGTTCAAATAAACCCAAGTCCCTATGGACTGAGCTACTGCCGCCCCTATATGCATAGGAGATGGTGGATGGTGTGGAAGTTAGGAAGCAGCAGACCACTTTGAGACCAACAAACAACAAAAGGGCTTTTTTGTTTGAGAGGCATCTGCAGCATTTCCAGCCGTGATTATTGCACCAAAATCCGGTATTTTAAGTCAAAATATGTTGTTTTCCTGACCATAACCAAGTTGTTTTTATGCCTAAACATAATCACAAGTTAGACACAGTGCTGCTAAAATAAAACAGAAACGTACAATGCCAACATTTACTCTGGTGATTAGGTTGAAAAGCAGCAGCTACCTTAACTGCAGATGAGAGAGAGAATTTCAGTGGAGGTGCCATCTGAGTTCTGAGCTGTTACCTTAAGTTTCCTTCATCAAAGTTAATCCAGAATCCAAATGAACCGATGAAGAGGTGCTAGGCAGCTTGTGTAATTCATTACAAAATGTAATTTAATCTCCAGGACTGACTGACTTGATTCTCCTCAACTGATTCAGAGGAATTGGGATTTGCCAGAAAGGTTGCCAAAAGGAAATTTGAGTTCATTATAAAATCCCCTTACAGAAACAGAAGGCCATTTCCAACTCTGTGTCGTCCTTATCCTCTAACACAAATGATGATCAATATATTTTCAGACAGGAAATTTAAAACATGGTCATAATGTGTGATGGTCCCTTCTAAGGTGCATTCAACTTTAAAGCCAGATTCTGCTCCTTACATGAAGTGTGAGGCATGAAATTGAAATGCACTCGCTGTTCAAACTGGAGCAGCGTTTGTCATGCTCCGTGACTTTTTAGTGAAGAGCTTTGTGTTCTGATGCCGTTATCCTCTTGAACAAGATTATCACACAGAGAAAATCCCGTGATGTAAATCTTGGATGCACACAGTGGCAGTAAAGTGTTCTGTCAGCTTGTTAAGGCACCTTCATTTCTACAGGCAGTTAAGAGTGTGCAGTGTTTGTACACATGATGCAACAAGGACCAGATGTTTCTAAATTAGACACTGCATGGTAAAGGTCTGTTAATTAGGTACAAACAAGCAGGCCCGCGCACAGGAGGAGCAAATCCCCTGAAAAAGGTCCAGTAAATGGGCTCTCCCCAAATCCTCTTAACTCATATCAATGCTT